ATGTGGAATCAAACGCTTAATTTCCTCCATTATTGGGATTTTTTGGCACTAAATTGAGCCTTTTCTGTATATATTTGTGAGCTGTTGCACTTTTTTTCCCAGTGAAATTTCTACTGGACATTCAGGAGATGTCACACATTTCTGTGTCTGACATGCTGAAGGATAAGACATGCACCTGCTGGAGGGATTGTTGCATCTATGAGGAAGCATTAGCTGGTTTTCAAGTCCTTTTTTATTGTTTTGTTTGGGGGGGGGGGATGAATGCATGTGTTCTAAATATCCCTACTGAATTCTACATCTATGATCAGGGTGCAATTTTTTGGAATCAGAGGTAGAAAAAGAAGAGATTTGGCTTTTTTTAAGGCCACTTGAAACACTTTCTTCTACTTCCAGAACACTAAATGGCTCCTGTGGCATTTTAATCTGTATGAACAGTAGTTTGTCAGGATGAGAGTGAATCTGTCTTTAACTCAGCTTAATACTACAGACACTGTAGTTCACCACACCATCATCATTTTATTAATTAAGAGCAGCGAATGTGCCAAATGATAATTGTCAAGAAGCCCTTTCAGTCAGAGGCCACTAGAGGGCAGCACTCACACTAAATGGTTCCATCTGTCCTCTCCGGTTTGGATCAGTTTCCTGAATCTCCACAACAGATTATATGTGAAACTGATCTTTAAGCAGAAGAACTTTTACATGTGTTTTGATGATTAGCATTAATTATAATGCGTTTTCTGACAATGGCAGGCTTTGGTGGAACAGTGAAGTCTGGTTTGAACAAACCTTTAACAACGTGTTTGTCTGGAAATTAATTGTTGATTCCCAATTCATAGTAAATGTATGTTTAAAGGCAGTTGGTTCACAGTTATCTGCAACACGTTTTTGTATTTTTCTAAATTATGAGAACACAGAAATGAGCAAGAACAAGAATATTTTCATGGCTTTATAGGAAAATTGCTGGATTTGTTTAGCTTTATTGTTTTTACTGGTATTGTGTTGATCTAAAGTTAATTATGTTAATGTCAGGACACTGGACAAGGTCAGCTGAGCTTACATTTGTGATCTGACCTTGTGCCAACTTTCACAGTCCACATTAACTCTGAACTGTGGCTTCATTCTGAGGTGGAACAGTCAGTTTTCTTACTTCTATCTGCACTGTTTAGGTGTTTTTTAAATTTATTTTTTTAACGTGGTCATTCCTGACTAGTGTTCTGCTCATGTAAAATAAAGACAACTGTGTCACCACCTGATCAAATTTTGTGTTAATTCTTAGTTAATTGCTAAATGTGGACAGCCAGGGTTAAAAGAGGCTAAAAAATAAATGTTCCCACAGATGAGTCAGCTGCTCCTAGATGACTTCAACTAGAAACTCACCTCCTCCAGAGGGAAGGGGAATTTAAAAAAAACTTAACAAAACTGGATGTTTTGAAGAAGGAGGCTTCTTGCTGGACTGTATTGATCTAAAGCTGCTTTACATTATGTTAATGTTCAATGCAAACCAGTAACAAAGCGTTTATAAAGAGACTGGAACATTTGTTTAGTGACATTTTTCGTAAGGTAGTGATATTGGCACTAATATAAAAACAAAATCAGAGTGCACATGGCTCTTCAACCTCAGGGAGGGGCACAGGGCGGACATATTGAACGTCCAAGGAAGTTACCAGATATGGTCACTATGGTCACAAATATGGTCACTTCCCCTGTAATGGGGTAAAAACCCCTTAAAGTTAGTTTTACAACAGATGAGTCAACTGATATTAGTTGGAGAGGACTTGGACTCTGTGAATCACACATCAAGAGCCTTGATGAATAAGAACACAGCCAAACATGATATTTTAAACAAGGAGGCTTTTTACTGATACGGTGTTGATCTAAAGTTAATTATGTTAATGTCAGGACACTGGACAAGGTCAGCTGAGCTTACATTTGTGATCTGACCTT